GTGATTGACTGGTGTGTATGTGTAATCCAACCAATAGGTAGCAGTCTGGTAACGTTGATATGTCGGAATTTGTACTGTACATTCCACTGTGAGGCCACTTGTGCAAATAACTTACATTATATCTAGAACTAACTTACATTATATCTAGGACTAACTTACATTATATCTAGGACTAACTTACATTATATCTAGGACTAACTTACATTATATCTAGGACTAACTTACATTATATCTAGGACTAACTTACATTATATCTAGGACGCACAGTCAGGGGATTTCCTACCGGTATTTAAGTGTGGTCAACGTGAAGGAAAATTTTAACATCTTTGACATTTTTTAAAACTTCTAGGATCTGTTTGCAGTCAAAGAAAGTGGCCAACAATGACTACTGTTTCTATTGTTATTGCATATTGATGCGAGATGCATTAACATTAAGACTGCCCTCCACAGAAGCAATCTTCTTATTAAAGCACTGCACACTCAAAACCAGCAGAGGGAGTGGGAGTCGAACCCATGCTCACCTGCTGCTAGTGCAGGCTTCTTCACCCATCAGCAACTGAGTACTCCAGTTGCCAGTTTGAATCCAATATTACCAACGGTACCTCAATGCCATTTGCAGTTTTACTGACTCAGATTTTCTCAACTACTTTTCAGTTATCTTTCTTGAATTCATAATCAATTGTTAGACTGTGCATGCAAATTGGGAAGGAGGCAGGTTGATAAAGGGGGGGGTCCTACATCTTTTGAGGACAGAGGGCTGTTGGAAATGTGTGCTAGCATAGTAGCATTTCCGGCCTTGTGCTCCAGTGGGGAGACTGCCTCTCTCTGTGAAAAAAAAGACAGCAATGAGATGGACCGGCAGCAGGGCTGTCTGCGATTCCAAAAACCTTGGAAGGAAGACTAAACCAGGACACCGGGATTGATGATATCAGCTGGCCACTTCCAAAGACACCCCCTCCAAAAAAGGGGGTGAGCAGGGGTGACTGGCTGCAAGAAACTGACAAAAGGAAAATACCCACAGGTCTCTGTGGTCTGCTTTGGCCCAGACAAAAATTGAAGAAAAAGTGGGGCCAAGCCCCCAAACTCTCCTAGAGATAAAAACTGAGCTGGGTGCCAGACTGTCACATCTGACTTGCCGTTCAGAAACTCAACTGCCAGACAGGCCGAGGAAGGTGCCAGACCAGTCATTGACTGATTGTCCCTTGATGCATTGGGAGTATTGTTCAGCCTCTTTTTTCTTTGCTTTTATTTGGGGGCCCTTCCGTCTCCCCACCTGTCACTGACAGAATGGGATCAGGGCCCACAGGATTGTTGCCCACTTGTGCGTCAGGCCATCTGTCTTTGAACTGGAGGTTGCTAACCTTAGCAACCCATGCTATGTGATTCTAAGGTGAAGGGAGAGGCAGGAAGGAGACGGGGCAGAGGGTGGGCCTCAGTCACAAATGCCCGCCTTTTCCTGGGACATCTGCCTCCACGATGAGCACCATTCGTGTACCAAACAAGCTCTTGTCATTCACTAGCAGGACATAATCTACCCACAGCTACATTTCACCATTGTTTCTTCCCTCGTTTCATTTTGGACCTTTCAACCATCAAATGTGTTATGGAACAGTGAAAACTATAATAAATCATTAAAAAACCTTTTGGGAGGAGAGGGCTACCCCTTATATAAACACTGCAGTGCATGTAGTTAGTCACGTACTGGACACTGAATGGTGATAAACAAAATACCCTCAAAATCACTTGAGACCCTTATGAAAGTTTAGCAAGATCTGTCTTAAAGTTCCAAACAGAGGCTTGGCTCCTGATCTAGATTCACAATCATCACAAAGTCAAAAAAAGAAAAGCAAGTCGTAGGAACTGTTCTTTGCATGTTGTGCCCTCGTATGGCTCTCACAGGAAAGTGTATGCTGCCCTCTACTGTTTGTGCATGCCGCGGATACTTCAAGTTAACACTCTGTGATTAGAAATTTGATCACCATTTAAAAACATTAATACTCTTGTGCGTGTAATTTCAGGCATTTTAAAACGTCTCTGCAAATCCCTGGAAATCTTTCCTTAACTAGAAATTAGTATCTTACACTTATCACAGATCTTATCGTACATTTTACTCTTCATACCAAAAATCACCAAGCCCCCTTTAAGCTTGAAATCCATTTCTGGCCTCATAAATCCCCTTAAGTAAAAAGAAAACTGTTTATCTTTCAACTTCAGACTTTTAAAAAGCCTACAAAAGAGGGGGAGATTTGAAACAACTTTCCCGCCGCCGCCAAAGGGAAAAAAAAATCAAATTGAACGTAAGAGAAAGTCACCATAGGTAAACTTCTGCGGTTGAAAAAAAAGCTAACCCAAACCACAAAGCTTGAGTCGCCTCCTACTATCCTTATCAATCCTACTGAGGGTCTGAACTCCTGACCCCAGCAATGAGGTTTGTGGCCACAGACCACAGAATCTAGAAAAGGCTGCGACCAAAGTCCCCCCTTTCACCTCCCCCCTCCCCCAAAAAAAGAGTTTGAACTGGTAAAAAAGGTGTAAAGCTAGGAATACCATGTCCACAGCTAGATCTCAGAGGCACCTTCTTGGCACACGACCAACAATTTCTAAAATCTAATAATGTCAGGTTCGCAGCCACCTGTGGGCCTTTTAAGCATCACAGGTGCTGTTTGGCATGGCCTCATGGGAAGAGATCAAAGAACTCTATCCACTCTTTCAATAATTTTGGACGGCCAAATAAATAAGAGAGACAGAGAAATTCAGGAGGGTAGGACTTTTGGTAGGACCATGGGGGGAAAGGGAAGGGGGAAGTACTTAGTATTTTTAAAGGAATGTTAGATTCTATTTCAAATCATTTAGAGAGTTGGCAGAAACAACCACAAGATTGGCTAAAGGGAGGTGGGAGTAGCTCCAATTTCACCTAAGGGTTCAAACAAATTTGTTGGATATAAAGAACCAGGCTCCATGGATTGATAAAAGATAATCCGTGCTTCAGTGGGTTCTGAAATGGTTACACAGAGGCAGGAAACTGACTGACATATTTTGATGTAAAAAACAACACCATAGGAAGAGGAAGAGCAACTCTTCTTCCTCTCAATGCAACTGGCAATAAATTCTAGCTCAGGCAATCTAATTTCTTCGGGTTTCACAACACGGGGGGCCATTTCAGACACTTCAGAAGCCATAAACAGATAAACGGTTGTCAATTTTCTGTTATTAGTAGACAAGCACACATTAGCGGTAGCAAAATGACCACTTTTCAGGCAAATGACTTCAGGATTGCTGTGGCCTTTGGTCCTGTGTTTGATGTCGAAGAGCAAAAACTGTGTGACAAGCCGGTCACAGTTTGCAGCGTCTACCACTCTGTCTGTGTACGAAACATCCCACTTGAGTTGGTTCACACGCTTCGGAAGAAGAAAAAAAAAATTGGCTCCAATGATGACCCAAATTACATATAATTAGCCTCCTCTGGTCTAAGCACAAAGGACGCACACCTCCCTTTTTGTGGGGGGGGGCCTTGTTGCAACCTGAAAGGCAACACAGATTCTGGGGCGCTTGCGTGCCAAGCTCTGCTCTGCGTGATGCACGGTCTATGCACCGCAACAATACAACAGCAACTGTCGGCGTGGGTTTAAAGAGTGACAAATTAGCAAACGCACGGTCACATGGGGAGAAATTACGTCTCTTTTGTCAGACGCTATTCTCCCTACAGCCAATTAGCGGCGGATACCGAGTCGGAGCGGTGTCCGCATTTTTAGGGAATATTTCTACCCCTCACTGCACTGGCAATTACAATAAAACTCCCCCCCCTCTTTTGGTATTATCCCCTCGGATTCAAACTTGAATTACCAGCTCTCCAGCAGCAAAAAATGGACTGGACGTTGACCCTATTAAACAGGGACACGCAAATGAATAAGTTAAAAAAAGTCTATTGCTCTGCTTACCTGTGCATCCACATTGTTTGTAAAAAGTCACAAAGGGACCTCTAATGTGCGTACCGAGAATTTCGAAACTATTGTATTTCGGGCAGGTCTTTGTTAAAGTGTGGCACAATTCCTGGCATGCCTGTCCCCTTTGCTTAGGGCATCTACCTACTATCAGCAGCCAGCTGCAATCTCTACTCCAACTGGACTGGGGTGGGGGGGAGGAACAATGGGACAGACATCTGCTTAACGTCAAGATTTGTTATTGTTTTTACGAGGCGAAAGTAGTCAGACAGACTGGCGAAGGCGTAAATCGGTCAACAGGTCTAGGTGTGAATGCCACTCGAACCAAGGTGTCGGCAGCCTGGGATTTATAGAGCGTTTCGTTAGAGTAGACGTTCTTAAAAGGCTCCTCGTTTATACTTTGCGACAACCTGACCGACTTTTTCTTTCCTTTATGTAAACCTTAATCCCCTCGACGGAATCCGGAATAGTCTGGTTCCACTTTGCAAAGAGTCACGTGTCTTTGATTATAAGTTGAGCATGAAAAGGGGGCCAAGTCAATCACGGTGTTTTTTTTTTTTTTTATTGCCGATCAGATTATGGTTCCGTAACACGCGTTATTTCAGATGATGTCTTCAAAGCATGTCTGACCTACATGTAGATGAAATCGAGCCATTCAGAACACAGTCCCGGCTCCCACCTGAAAAGGAGGACACATCTCCTATACTCCGACCCACTTAAGAAAGCAAACTGAATGTTAGATAATATCCCATGGAAGGTAAAGCCAGGCAACTGAACCCAAATTCCTCATCAAAAAAGCCTCAAATCAGGAGACCCCCATAATAGTTAAGCTTTCCATTCATTATGAATCATGATACAACTTCGTCGGCAAACCTTCCAGGGCAACATTTTGCAAACGTGCACGACCAAAAGAACTTATAAACAAAACCACTACAAACACAAGCCAACTGAGGAATAAAAGACTAATTCTAGTCTGTTTTTCTGTGGGTTTTACAAATGTGGTATAAGGGTTAGTGGTTAATAAACGTTGATACAAAACGAGTAGAAATAGAATGTTACCTCCACCAGATGGTTGTCTGGTCCATACAGCTCCTTATCCAGCTCGATGACTAAGCTTTTGAAGAAGGAGGAGAATTTCCTCTTCTGCTTAGACTCGTACTTTGGGGCGTTGGGCTGAAGGACACAAATGGAAGGGTAGGAAAGTAAAAATGCCGAACATGTACCCGCCCCGAGTTGAATTGCACCCCCAAGGGGCAAAAGAAAGACAGATGGTTCTAAGTTTTCCAAGCGGGTTCTTGCATGCATTCTACGTGTATGCAAAGACCACACATTAATGAATAAATTCGTTACACGTACTCAGCATGTTCCAAGTCAAACGTGCCACTGATCTCCATTATAAATGGGTGCCTATGTGGTGAGTACCAAAAAAACACAGCCTCTTTTGTTCCGCTCGGAGCGGGCAGAACCAGCATACACGATAAAAAACTTAGACATGGACGTCAAGACGTGCCTATGGTTTTCCCTAGTATGATTCCGGAAAAAAATTTCTCGCAAACAGATGTCGGGTGAAGTGGTCTGGTGAAGGGCACAAATTTAGAGACTTGGTAAAATCTCACTCAAGTCAAGAAACACTTTGGAAAATTCTGTTCACTTCAGAAAGCATTGTGCGTCTCTTATTTAATCTTTTGATATGGAGGTGGCTGAAAAATTGAATCATGGAAGGTTATAGATACCGGTTTGTATATACATGTACATGTTACGCCCAGCCTACATGTATAGCCTCTGTCCTAATTGTAGTGATGCAGTTGGGCCGACCCAATTATTGTTGGCAAATTTCTATGTATATCATTTCTTAAGCTGCTGTAAGTTCATGCGACTCACACCTGACATACATGGAATTTCTTATGTGATTCCTCACAAATATGGAACTACTGTGACATAAACTGGGGCGTAACTACAATCCCTTATGCTTCAGACTATTCCAAAGCTTTCCAGTATCACAGATTTCACCCAGTCATAGATGCTACCAGTTCCAGACACACTGGTTGGCACAAAACCCCAAAGGAAGTCACCCACACCGAGCAGGTGCAAGACATCAGGATACAGTAAGGGGAAAAATCTATGCAATTTCTCCTCCCACCCCTTCCTCCCCTGATGTGGACTTCCCTCCCACGCTCCCATCCACGTCAGGAAGTGAGGAACTGGTGATCATGCATCAGTCTGATCGGGCATCCACTCACACAGCAGCTTGCAGAGTTTGCGGGGCAACCCCAACTAGGAGCCCTCCGAGTCCCTGGCAGTAAAACTTCTAAATTTAGACAGCCCATGAGAGCAAAGAACCCCTAGAAAGACTCAAGTCAGAACTTGAGCTCCTTTTCTGTGGTCTTCAAACCGTATCAACACTCAGCAGTGCCAAAGACTTCAGACGCTGCACGTGAAAGATTGACAGGACAGTCTTGGGCAATCCAGTCACTCTGAGAGAATGCATGAATTACTTACATCTTCCAGGAGACGACCTTCAACTCTCAGCTCCCAGGATGGTACACTAGCATCTTCTTCATCCGCATCTGGCCGGCCTGGATAGTAAGTGTTGGAGATGAACACACGCAGCTTGCGCTTTTGCTGTTGACAAGAATTATTTTCCAACAGAGAACTGTTAACACGTGGTAAAATAAGAAATTTCATCAAAGTTTGGAAAGGGCAACAGCAAATTCAAACCGAGGGAAGTAGATGTACACTGCTCAACGTTGGATTTTGGAATACAGGACACTTCCCAGAAGGTTAAGGTTACTAAACGTACTCTTAATGTACATAAACGGTCCACGTCATTTAGAAAATATTTAAAGGTACGAAAAAAAATAAAATTGCATTTCACGGACGAAGACACTTTCGATTCATTCCACAGTCACCCTCAGCTGCCACAACGCCAGTAAAACAGAATCCTACAATATCCCACTCACTAATTCAAATCACGTCCAGTGCTTGCTGCATCAAGGACGGCAAGAAATTACCTGATTTCAGACCTGGTTGATCCAGAAGGACTAAGATAAATTTCTGATAAAACAAAATGCAAAAAATATTTTCTCAGGGACACTGCATAAGAGATAACGACTCAAAGTGTGTCATGAACCGTTAGCTTGGCGGGTAAAACCCATCAGAAAGGGTCACCATGCTGTGGCCTTTTACAAAAGGCCAGAATCCAGATGAGGTGAGGAGTGGTGCAATGAAGGTTGGGTTCAAAGCGCACTGGAGGGTATTCCTGTTGCCATGAGTAAACAGCATCAATCCTTAAAAGCCCGCCAGCTCCAAATATATTCCTACCACGAATCCTTACATCTCTCCCCCCCCATCAACATCAAACTTAACGAGAAAAAGAAGTTAAGATAAAATTGCTGCCCCCCCCCAAAAAAAACCACAAGACAAACAGCAGTCACCAGAGACTCTCGCATTGAGCAATAACTGGTGGGTGACAATTGTTGCTGAGGGCATGTGAGGGCCAATGAAGGGGGGGGTGTACAACAAAGGATTTGGTCAGAGCCAGACTTTGTTCAAATGGACATGACCCTGAGGTGGATGGTCAGCGACAGAATGGATTAACATGGAAACTGGGTCAGGATCAATAGACCAAGGGTCAGACTGGCCTATTTGCATTGCCTTGCTTCCTCTTTTTTTAACCCAACTAGGGTTTGACTGGAAAGATGATTAATTTTAAAAGTGAATTTCTTCTAGAGTATAAAGAAAGTTTAAGATTGCACTAAATCCCTTTTCTGTCCAAGTCAGTGCTGGCTTATCATAAAACTAATTTGTCTTTGCATCAACTTGGCGACTAAATTCCTAGAATACAGACTGTTTGTTGCTCAAAGTCACCCACCCTTCAGACTTCTCAGTCTGTGAAGAGGTAAAAAAAAAAAATTCCAGAGCCGCAACTAGACCGGGAATAACCCCGGACTGAAGAAAAGATTCTCCTCTAGTCAAATGAGAAATTCTCTAAGGCTATTTGAAAAAGGACAATGGGAAAATTGAATGGCTCAGGGAACTTGACCGGTTAAAGACTAACAGGTACGTCAGTACACAGCCCGAGATTTTGTACTTGTGGACATTTTAGGAAATGGAACACTATGGGATATGGCATCAAACACGACGAATTTTTTAATTTTAGGGCATCAGAGGATATCATACCTGAACACAAATGAAGCCACAAAATGCCTTAAACTAGCAAAGTTTAAATTGATCCATAACCTCAACTTCATTCACAGCTTTCCTAAGATGACATTTTTCAGATTTACTTCAAGCAGGTAGTGCATGATGGTTTTGAAGGATCTTATTTTTACAACCTTTTCATCACAGTTTTCAATATATATGCTCATATTCAGCCCAAATTTTTGGTAAATGGAGCTGTGACAAAATCGTGGTGCACCAGAGCAAATGTTGACAGTGGAAATTCACAAACAAGCTCCCCCCCCTCAAAAATTTGAGTTAAAGTGTTGCCATAGATGTCAACAAGCAGGGAGAATTGAAACTCCCCGCCATGAATGGAGAGTCATTCCTGGCTGTTGACTCGACCCGTGGCCACGAGCCGCTGATGTGTGTGCTCAGATCTCGTCGGCATGAAAGGCTTCCTGGGGCTGAGAGGGTACATCGCACATACACCCCTCCTCGCCTCAAGAGTCACTCCCGGCATCTTTCCTTGATCAAACAGGGCCACAATGGGCACTGGCGCCCAACTTTCTTGCAACTGGGTGTTTGGACAAGGACCCATACAGACGCCGCCCCAGATACCCAAATGCCAGTTCTGGGGCAACGGGTGGATGCACACATATCTCCCCCCCCCCGGCCCAGCCCCCCCCCCTCGGGTTTCAGGTAAAATGTACCCAATTGTATTTCATCCTGTTTTGCAGAGGAATTTGATATCAAGGGCTGATAGTCTTAAAGTGTAAAGCAAAGAAGATGCTCTTTCAAATAAAGGTGATGATTGGAAACAGACATACGTCCGTATCCTGTTTTTAAGTGAATCGAGGTACACGTTTATTTCCAGAAATGGGTGCTTCAGAGTTAGAGATGTTGGCCTACAAAGTAACAAGTACCCAGTATTTTGCATCCTGTTTTGAAGCGTCCCAATTTCTAAATGGCCGAAGTCCGACTGTAGACAATCTTGCGTCAATCTTTGGGCCATGCTCGACACCTAATGGAGAAACCGCCAACGCCAAAAACCAACCCTGCCGGCCAAAGGACTGTTGATCAACTCAGCAGTGTGCAAATTCAAATCCATTTTCTGGATGTCGTCAAACAGCAGAGTACTGCAACAACAATCAATTAGGTCAGGTGGATAATACGGTTACAATTCAGGGAAGAGTGGCTCCATAACGAGGTCTTTGGATGTTTTTACCCTTTTACACAAATTCTCTGGGTGTTGCTCTTTTCATGCAAAGTTCACCGTCAAGGTGCTTTTGAGGACACAAGCAGAGGTGGGGGAGCTCATAAAGGTATTTCAGTTCAATTACGTGAGGAGAATCAGGTACACAGTTGGGGAAAAGTGGTTTGTGAAATCACCAATTTAACAATCACAAGAGGATCTTGGAGGATCTGGATATCAAAGCCTACAGGTGCCGCAATTAGGGTAATGACCGGTATGAGAGCTCTTTTGAACAATCTTGAGAACAACCTGCACGCATGCACTTGTACTTTGTATCAAATTTAATTTCCTACCCACACGTAACACAGTTGACAGGTTCAGTGTGTATCACTTTATGTTTACAGGGACCTTGCTCTGGAAAACAAACACCTCAGAAACTTTAATATCACTTTCAACTTTAACATTGAAAAAAAGTGTGAATAAGAAAAAAGGATTTTATTAATGTCCAAACACTGGGTCAGTGGTACAGCGTTTCCTCAAATCCAATTAATGAAGGGGGGATGGCACTGTGTCCAAGAACTCTGCTGACAAGTATTTTGAAGGGATTCAAGGTGACAATACTGCTCATTCAACAGCCGAGAAAGGTTCCTCGGAAAGACTTACATGTATTAAGCGTCACCTACGCACAGTATTTTCTCTCAGATCGTATTCAGAGCGAGAATGATTTTTTTGACTCCAGAGAGGAAATGTTGCTATTTCAGGTAACTTACTGTTACATTTTTTACAATCAACCCTACAACTTCATTCTTGTATTGTCGGTATCTTCATGTATTTTGATTGTAAGGATTTCTGTGCTACTGGAGATGACTTGTTCACAATTGGTCTTTAAAATGGTCTTTTTTCTGGGAGTGAGTTATTTGGGAGTGTTTATGGATACTTGTTTCAAAAGAAAAGAAGGAAAAATCAGTTTCGAACATTCTTGGGCTAAAAAAAACCTTCTTTTGAGAACAGTGTACACACGAAAGCAAACATATCATGCAGGAACGTGCAGAAACTAAAGTGGTCCCTATCAGAGCGTGTCCCCAATAGTTAAAACTTGGCCAAATATGTATTGTTGTCAGTATTTACTTACACTCCTCTGTGGGTCTATACGTTTCAAATACTTGATAGGCCTTCCTGTTTGATGAGCTAGGGTTCTTCCGAATGGCTTATCAAATTTGACCCCCGTTGGAGGCAACTTTTTAATAAATTTGGTTTTGCTTTTTGCCCTCATTTGCAACTTGTCGCCCGATAATCTCTTCACGGACAGGTGATGCAGGAATCCGTATTTGGGTTTTCAGGCCAACACCTGTCAATCAAGGGACATTCCATGATACCCGAGGCTGTTGACGGTGGGTGGGGGGGTATCAATTGGGCCAAAAAAACACCAAAAACAAAGAGTGTCCTCCCTGACAAAACTTGGCCGAGATATGCAGGGGAAGTAGGTCGGGGTAAATGAACTAGCCAGATAATGGCTATCCAAGCGTGACGGATTAATTCCTCCAATTACCAACCTCTTGGCTCTTGCGCTATGATACTGTACTCTGCTGGCTCCCCAAATAAAAACAGTAACCTTTTTTTCCCCAATGCAACACACTAATGTCGGCCATAATCAGGTCCAAGAAAGTTGAAAGAGTTTGATCCTTTGTTTGTTGTTGGAGTGTGAAGTCTCATGAACTTGAGGACTAAAGAGTGTTTGCCAGTGAATATATTATGCCGCAGTGACTGTGTTGTTTTGATCTGGTTTCTGGAGTTCCACATCAAGCTGTGTATTCTAGATTCTTCTGACTGATTCATATAGACTTCTGTATGTTTTCAGTTTTGATCTCTATTTTATAGTGAAAACAGGGATTATGACAATATGAGAAATTAGACATTTGTTCACAGACAAATAGCAAATTATAAAAAAAAACGAGTAGTTGCCAACATGTGAGCTTATGAAAAGTTATCATTCTCACTCTCATGTAGGGTTTCACTGGTCAACCTTTTTTTTTTTAAGTGGTGCGCTTCAGAGTTTGACGAGCTGAATTCAAACACGACCAATTCAATGTTTGATTGGCTGATATCTTAAAGACATTTAAGTTTTTCAATTTTACGTACAGGGAATGTGGTGTAGGCTACACAACAGGTGTTTAATTAATCATTAACAGTAAACCTAGCTGTCTTGTGTTATGGTTGGTTCACTTGATATCATGTCACTTGCAGTGTCTTGTCTATGCATAAAGCAAGG